GCTCACACTGCCCTAACCGACAACAATCAGCACCGACGCAGCGGCAGCTTCGGCCTTCAAGCAGCCAAGTTACCTCAACGCAAGTAAATCCGACATCCCAAGTACAAGTCTTAACGACATCGACGGGACAACCTGCGCAAGAAACAAGAAATATCGTCAGTTGTATGACACGGCTGACCGATTCATGCATCACCGAGTCTCCACCACATTACTCACCGGAAGAACGACTCGACAACAGTACACCTCGCCGCGAGTCACTTCAACCAAATCCAACGTACGCAGCCATCGCTCAAAGCGAGCCATCCGGTAAAGACACGTGGTTCTTGGACAGTTGCTGTGGACAGCACATGTGCTCCTCAGGACGATTTGTTCAACGTGAACACCAACTTCAACGAGAGGTCGTCATCACCGTCGCCAACAATCAGAACCTGCGCACACGACGACAAGGCGTAGTGCAACTTCAGTCACGAGAGACAAGTGTCATACTGCAGATGTCTAAAGTTTTGATAGCAGAAGGACTCGGCTACAACTTACTAAGCGTCAGTCAGCTGATGGCGAAGGGCATACACCTCGAGGCCGACAGCACCACTCAGGAGTTTAAGTTATACCACGGCAAGGGTGGTCTCTACATCGGAAAAGCAGTCTTAAAAAACAATGTCTTCGTCCTCGACTTCGTCCCAGATCTCGGCACCGCCGACAGCGACGGGATCGTCACCTTCACTTCTTGGACACATCCACCGGATCTTGACCCCGACTTCTGTCCAGAAGGCTTCTGGTATTCGCACACCATCCCTGAAGCAGAACGAACACGAGCATTAGCGACAATTCAACACTCGGCAGCAGCAGAAATAACATCGGCAGCAGCAGAAATAACATCGGCAGCAGCAGAAACATCATCGGCAGCAGCAGAACCATCGGCAATCCCAACAACACTTACAACACCAGTCGCAAGTTCTTCAACATCGCCACACATCGATAATACTTCACCAACTCCTGCGCAGCAGCTAACTCCCACTCCTCGCGAAGTTCACAGAAGCGCCAACTTCACCGCCGCCTTTTACTCCAACTCCGATCTGTATCGTCGTTCACCCGGACATCGCGCCAGCGAAGACATCTGGCACGCACGAATGGGACACCCAAGCAACACGGTGTTAAACAATACAATCCGAGCAGGCGTACTCGACAAGGATTCACTACTCCTAACGGACGGAAGTGAACTTCGACGAGCACGAGGAACGTGCTTTACCTGCCCCGAAGCTGACTTACCACATCGGCCATTTACTTCGCACCACAACCCCAGCGCACCAGCTTATGCACCACTTGAGAAAGTTTACAGCGACATCTTGTACAACCGCGAACCTGGACAAGGAGCATACAGCTACACCATCACCTTCATCGATGCCGCTACACGTTACGTTTGGCACCTTAATCTCCCGAGCAAGGACATGGCCTTCGAAGCCTTCATCGCTTGGCTCCCAGTAGCAGAACGAGAATCAGGCGAGAAACTGAAGAGCTTTCAGTCAGACGGAGGAGGAGAATACACCTCACAGCGGTTCAAGCAGTTCTTGGCAGAAAAGGGAATCAAAAGGCTCATCTCGCTTCCTTACGCCCATCAACAGCAAGGCGTGGCGGAACGGATGAACCGAACCCTCCAGAACACCATGCGCAAACTACTGCGTGGTATGCGACTGCCCAATCACCAGTGGCCTGAAGCGATGGACCACGCTGTCATGCTGCACAACTTGCTTTATTCGTCGTCATTACCGAACAACGCATCACCGCACCTGCTGTGGACAGGAAAACAGGGCAGCACAAAAATGTTAAGAGTTTTCGGCTGCATGGTACAGTACCGACCCCCATCTGCACGAGCCAGCCGATTTTCCCAACGAGCACAGTGGGGACTACACCTGGGCATCGAGAAAAATTACAACGCGTGGAAGATTTTCGACGTCCACTCCAAAGAAACAGTAGCAGCACGTGACGTCATTTTCTACGAACGACTCACCCTTCCGACATACCTTGCCAACCTAGAAGAAAATCGGGATCCCACAGGTGGCTTCCGTGGTGACCGACACTTCGCCTCGGCAGCAGACGAAGCTGACTGGGACGAGCAGAACGTGGATAACGCCTCAGACGAAGCAGGACCACTCCCTTACTGCTCCGTGCCCATCCCGATGGATGACGAAAATCCTCGCGAAAGTGTCAACGCCGAAACTTATTTCGACCTCGCCGATACTGGTTACGTTACACCTGCAGAAGTCAACACCAACGAAGCCGAACGCATAGGGCCCAACTTCATACCTGACCCAGAAACAGGAGACGAAGCAGCTTATCCCGCGGACACAAAACTCCCCCGCTACACACAGAGTGGCCTTCAGATACTTGGTCTCGTCACCGCGGTCCACGGCACGGATACACCTAAGGAGCCTGCCACAGTTCAGCAGGCTCTGGGGGGGGAACATAAGGAAAAATGGCGTGAAGCCATGGACAAGGAACTGAAAGCACTACAGGAGCGCAACACCTGGAAAGTGGTTCCTATCGGCGTGGCACGAAACAAGACAATACTCACCGGGAAGTGGGTCTTCCGTGTGAAGACAAAAGCAGATGGCACCATCGACAAGTTCAAGGCACGCTGGGTCGTACGCGGCTTCGACCAAGAGCACGGACGCGATTTCACTGAGACATTCGCACCGGTTAGTCGACATACTTCACTGCGGATTCTTCTCGCGGTCGCCGCTATGAAAAAGAAGAAACTGCGGCAAATTGACGTCGCCAATGCTTTTCTCTACGCACCCGTCGACGTAGAGATCTACGTCGAACTCCCACATGGTTCTCACGGAGAGCCCAATCAAGTCTGTCAGCTGCAAAAATCTCTGTACGGGATTAAACAGGCCCCGAGACTGTGGCAGCAGTACTTACACGCCCGACTCACTCGCATCGGATTCAAGCAGCTGCCGCACGACCAAGGAATGTACCGATTTACGAAAGATGACGACTACATTCTATTGATCGTCTACGTAGATGATCTACTCTACATCGGATCGACCGACAACGTTACTACCTGGTTCGAAGGGGAGCTACAAAAGGACCTCACCCTCACGGTTTCATCTACCGTCACGCAATACCTCGGCCTCAACATCCAAGAAGGAGAAGACGCGATCTATCTCAACGCCGCAAAGTATGCCGACACCATCGCCAAACGGTTCGCACTCACACCAACTACCATCTCCACGCCATACCGCTACACGGCAGGAAATGACAAGGCAGAATCTGCTCCACTGAAACCCGCCGACATACGCAACTACCAGAGAAAACTAGGATGCCTTCTCTTCGCGGCCGTCACCTGTCGTCCAGACCTATCATACTCAGCAAGTCAACTCGCCACCTACCTTAAAAGACCTGAAGACGAACACATGAAGGAGCTCGATCGCGCCTTACACTACCTCGTAAGCACCCCGACGATCGGCCTAATCTACTACAAGAATATAACTACAATGCCCAAGCTAATCGGCTACGTCGACGCCGATCACGCCGGAGATTCTGACAACAGGCGCTCGCGCACAGGCTACATCTACCGTCTCGAGCCTATCGGACCTATTTCGTGGCAGTCGAGCAAACAGGAATTAATCGCCCTTTCCTCAGCTGAAGCTGAATATATCGCACTTTGCTCAGCCACCAAGGAAGGACTCTACCTTCGCGAACTTCTGGAGGAAGCAAAGCTGGCCCAGTTACCCAGCTTCTCCCTATTTTGCGACAACCAATCGGCAATTCGCATAGCCAACAAAAATGGATTTGCGAACAGAACGAAGCATATCGCCCTGCGATATTTCTTCGTAAAGGACGAGATCGAGAAGGGGAGACTTGAGCTGTCTTACTGCCCCACATCCGAGATGGCAGCTGATTACTTGACCAAGAAGCTCAGAAAGTCGAAGTTCGAATATTGCATGCTGCTGACTGGACAGAGCCACGTCACCTGCAGCGACACTCCAGAAGCGAAGGGGAGTGTTGAAAACAACTGATTTAGGCGCCTCTCTCGTGTCGAAACACCAAAGACAGAAGCGAAGCAGCTCGTATCGAAATATCGGTGAGTCAACCCTCGGAGGTTGAATAACTGTTGGAGGTTACGCGAAAGTCAAAGGTCAGCGACCTTTGACCTGACAAATGCAGCGCGACAGCAAGGACAAACAACTGTCTCGATACTGAGCAGTTGCCCGAGTCGACACTGTATCGAACTGCAACAGCAACAGTAAAACAGTTACGGTAACTGTATCTCTTCATATTCCTTTGTATTCTTATAAAAGCTTGTATCTCTTTTATTATCATTAACTTACTTTGCCCTCACATACAAGCGCAAGGTGGTTCACAATCATTTATTAAACGCTTCCGCTATTACGTCATCCTACCCTTGAGTTCTGCCCTGCAAAGATCCTAAAGGGCTTTCTCAGCCCAACAAATGCAACGTCTCATTTCAACTGGCAAGTACAAGATTTTATCGTCCAAGCATTATACAACAGAATAGCATTGTGCATCTTATGCTAGGGTGGGAGGGCGGGAAACTTGAACTTGAAAGTTCGAAATGAAAAACGTGGGTGAAGGCCAAATGGCCTTCGCCCCCTCTTTTGTACCAAAAAGAGGGGAAGTAGCGGTTCGCCGAAGCCTTTGCTTCGGTACAATTCGCTTCGCTATTCACAATACACAATTTTAGAAAGTGTTTCACTTTCAAAAATTTACATTTCTCCAAAGCCTACTTTCTACTTTCTTGACAGTGGAGGCCAAATGGCCTCCAGCCCTCATTATGTACTCGGGAATAGGCATTCGCAGTTGCCTTGCTTCGATACAGTCAGCTGCGCTTTCATAGTACATATTTTTAGAAAGTGTTACACACTTTCTAAAAAAATCATTTTGTGTGTAGTCTTATTTCAGATTCACCGAAGCATAAGGTAACCTAGGCCGAACACAAGTTTCATAAACTCATCACAAACTGCACCCCTGCTACTAATTTACTTGTAACCAGCACCGCTCTCGCCCGCATAAGAGTTGTCAGATCCTTCTGCATAGCTAGGCTCGTTCATTGGCATCTGGCCCTCGCCCTCCCCACCTGCCGGGTATGCGACTGGGACAGCTGAAGCCTTGTACAGTCTGGCATGGGGAAGACAATAGGAGGGATAAAAATGAGTGGAAGGCACTCGGTTGCAATTATGGAAGATTATCATTCATGCAATATTATGAGTTTTGTTCATAAATGTGTACATGTTGTGAGTGGTATTTGTGTGCGAGGAGTTGGAAAGAAAGAAAGAAAGAAAGAAAGAAAGAAAGAAAGAAAGAAAGAAAGAAAGAAAGAAAGAAAGAAAGAAAGAAAGAAAGAAAGAAAGAAGAAAAAGAGGAAGAAGAAAAAGAAGAAAACAAAAATGAATGAAGACTAATTACTCAAGCACTCACCATCCCACCTCTTCCACCATTCAAACTCCCCGGCAACTTCCCCCCCCTCTCTCCTCCCCCCTCTCTTCCTTTTTCTTACCCCTCCCCTCTTCCCCGCTCACCCCCTTCTCCCTCCCTCCCCCCCCACTCAACCCCCACTCAACCCCAACCCCTCACTCGACCCATCCCACCCTTTCTCCCAAGTCTTACCCCTCAACTTCGGCGTCGCTGAGTTTGTCGCCGATCCTGACGGCTCGGAAGACGTAAATTGGCGTGGAGAGGGCTTGCATCATGCAGGCGATGGTGATGACCAGGAAGCCCACCCAGAGCATCCGGAAATTGGTCACCATTGCCTGTGCCTCGGATAATGCGAACTGGGGGAACACACAGGGGGGAAGGGGGGTTGAAGGGGCATTGGGGGGCGAAACAGCACGCTGAGTTCCCTTGAGAAAACCATGATTCCAACCCATCTGGAAGTTGGTAACCATTGCCCTGTTGATCGGTAAAGCAAATTGGGGCAGGCATTTACAGAGAGACGAGGGGAAATGGGAGACATGGGGGAGGAGGGAGAGGAGGGAGTGAGAAGGAAACCAAGAAGCCAACCCACAGCATCTGGAAGCTGGTAACCATTGCCTTTGCCTCAGATAGTGCAAACTGGGGAGCATTTACAGGGAGACAAGGACACGAGGGAGAGGAGAGAGTGAGACGGAAACCAGGAAGCCCACCCACCAGAGCATCTGGATTTTGGTAACCATTGCCTGTGCTTCGGCGAATGCAAACTGTGGGACCATAGCGGGGAAAATGGGGGAGGAAGAGTGCATGTGTGTGTGATCACGTGATTCATGATGTGTGTATGGTGGATTCTTTTCCATAAAATCCCCAGGAGTCAAATATGCACTTCACCGCACTGCACAGCACTGCACTGCACCGCACAACACCACACAGCACTGCACTGCATATGGTATTCTCACCGCAGCAATGTTGGCAACATAGGAGCAGTCGACGAGGGTGAGCACGTTGGGGATGGTGGACTCGAGCAGTGCGAGCGTCTGAGCCGTGGCTGTGAGGTCGCTCCTCACCACCTCCGGCACCAACATAGCGTTGCCGGCTGTCGTCATCAGCATCTGCAGGGAAGGGGGAGGAAGGGGGGGATAGTGGGAAGGAGGCCGTGAGGAGGACAATGTGTTTTGTACTGACTCGAACGGCTGTGAGATCGTTCCGTACCACCTCCGGCACCAATGCAGTGCTGCCGGCTGTCGTCATCAGCATCTGCAAGGGGGGGGGAGGGGGAGGAAGGGAGAAAGGGGGAGGGGACAGCGGGAGAGGGCAGGGGTTGTGTCCGACTCACAAGGGTGTGAGATCATTCCGTACCACCTCCGCCACCACCGCACGCAGTGCTGTTGGCTGTTGTGATAAGCGCCTGCAGGGAGGGGGGAGGAAGGGGGAAAGGGGACAGCGGGAGAGGGGGGGAGTTGTGTCCGACTGAATAGGCAGTGAGGCCGTTTCGTACCATCTCCGGCACCACCGCACACAGTGCTGTTGGCCGTCGTGATAAGTGCTTGCAGGGAGGGAGGAGAGAGACAGTGGAAAGGGGGGCAGGGGGAAGGGGACAGAGGGAAGGGAACAGGGGGAGGGGGACAGTTGGAGGGGGGCAGGAGGAAGGGGGACAGGGGAAAGGGGGACAGGGGGAGGGGGGACAGGGGGAGGGGGACTGGGGGAAGGAGTGTTACAAACAATGTGCTCTTTGTGCCATGTGTGGCTGACTCAAAAGGCTGTGAGAGACTGTTGGCTGTGATAACACGTGCCACATCAGCACAGCACATCTGCCACATCAGCACACCAGCCACTCACATTCACAAACTGCAGGAAGGTGATGGTGCACACATGCCACAACAGCACACATGCCACAACAGCACACATGCCACAACAGCACACATGCCACATCACCACACGCGCCACATCCCCACACATGCCACATCAGCACACGCGCCGCTCACATGCACAAACTGGGGGAAGAGGATGGTGCCTTCAACACAGAGGTCCGTGTCGCGCGTGAAATTGGGCGCCGGGCCGTACGGCACACAGATGCCACCCGGAACGCCAAGAAACTTAAATAACTGTGGTGGGAGGCGGGGGTGGGGGGGGAGGGACGAGAGGGAGCAGGGGGACATTGACAAGGTTGAACAACTGTGGTGAGCGCACGCACTCACGCACTCACACATTCACGCACTCACGCACGCACGCACTCACGGACTCACGCACGCACGCACAGCCAGCCTGTGACACTCGCCTCAAAGATCACCGCATTTATCAGCAGACGGCGGCAGCAGCTAGCACTGCACTCACCCTAGGCACGTTGCTGACCACGGAGCTGTTGGCAGTGGTGAGCACGGTGGCGGCAGTGTAGCGCGCACTCACACCCGTTGACTGGCCTAGGATCACCCCATTTATTGGCAGACGGCAGGCAGTAAGCACTGCACTGCACTGCACTGCACTGCACTGCACTGCACTGCACTGCACTGCACTGCACTGCTCTGCACTGCACTCACCCGCGGTGCATTAGCAGCCACGGAGCTGTTCGCAGTGGTGAGCACCGTGGCAGCGGTGTAGCGCGCGTAGCGAGTCGCGTTCAGGAGCTTCTCGCTGGGGATGCAGTGCAGATATTTGTCCATGGCGCTGTTCATGGTGGGCGACTGCTGCACCTGCTCCAAGGCGACGCTGGTATCGCCATTCACCCTGGGGTTGGAAATCGGGGTGTTGTGTTGGGGTGTTAGGGGGTTGAGAGAGCAGCCATGATGACCCTGCTGGGGATGCAGTGCAGTGGAGATATTTGTCCATGGCGCTGCTCGTGGTGGGCGACTGCTGCACCTGCTCCAACGCCACGCTTGTTGTATCCCCGTTCACGCTGGAGTTGGAGGGAGGGAGAGCAGATGAGGGAGGGAGAGCAGATGAGGGAGGGAGTGGGCAGCCAGCCTAGACTAGACCCCCCCTGGGGATGACTTTTGAGACGTCTCAAAAGTTGGAGGGAGGGAGAGCAGATGAGGGAGGGAGTGGGCAGCCAGCCTGGACTAGACCCCTCCTGGGGATGCAGCGGAGTGGAGATTCCAGTCGCTCATGGCGCTGTTGATGGTGGGCCAGGTGGGGGACTGCTGCAACTTTTTAGGCGCCTCAAAAATGTTGGTGGTGGGGGCCTGCTGCCAGTTGACTTTTGAGTCGACTCAAAAGTCAACTCCAACGCCTCACTTGAATCGCCGTTCACGCAGGGGTTGGGATTTCAAGGGAGCATGACCGGCGGCACAAGGGGTCAATACAGGCTAACTTTTAGTAAGGCTAACGTGAATGTAATGGAAAATACATACAACAGAATTTCCAGATTTCCTGACTGATAACGGAGAATAGGGGTTTATAGACAAGAGGATATGAAGGCTTATGGGTGTAATGTAAGGGGAGATGCTAAAGGGTGCCGAATTGTGAATGGTATTCAATATGCATTTAATAAAAACATACGGATGCACAGTAACAAAGGCTAGCAGGTTTGCAATGAGTAGACCAGCTGTCATGCACCAAGTGAAGTCTGGAATTCGGAGGGAGAGAATTATTACAGCCAGGAAGTGTGCGTGTAGCTTGCAAGAGGCTTACAGGTATGCAATGAGTAGACCAGCTGTCATGCACCAAGTGAAGAAAACGATCACCCAGATTATAGTGATGATGCTGTTAAGGGGGATAGGCAAAGAACAAGGACACGAACATAGCAAATGTTGATGAATCGTACGCTGAGTAGAACGATGAATCAGAGGGGCGTTACAATATGATGTGTAGTTAGAACTTAGAAGCTAAGTAAACTCGTTCAGCATCAAAGCCAGCTACATGTTCATCAACACAGTACCAGTCTCTCAAACAGCGATGTAAACTTGGAAAGTAATGAAATGAAATGGAATGCAATGAAGCTTTTTCGAATGCATGCAAGCAAGAGCACTCACACGTTGGATGCCACGACCCATTTGACAAGCGAAAACACTGCGAGGAGAATCGGACATAAAAGGGTGCAAGACAACAAAAAGGAAAAACTTGACGAATCAAATCACTTTTGAGATGTCTCAAAAGTGGAAAAACTTGACGGATCAAATCACCAATGGCGTTACATTACATGCACAGCAGATGGATGAATGAATCACAAAGAGCGCAAAGAGATTGGCAAGAGTCGCGATGGCTTTCAAGGAAATGCTTGGCGCGGGTCTAGTTATGAGACGTCTCAAAACTGGGTCTCATCTCGTTTCTTAAATAAAACTTTCCGCCTCGCATTCATACTCTCGCACTTGCACTGGGATAATTTCTCAAAAACTTCTTCCAAGAAAAGGGGCACGGGCCGGGGCGGGGCAGGACATTGTGAGTGAGAGCCGAGGGGGACAGGCAACAGCAATGAATGAATGAAACGAGCGCTAAATATTTTGTCAACCAAATGTAACGACTGTTACATTAATCGTTCGCACTAAAATGCTAGACAGAAAGGTGAGTAGTGGCAGGGGATTGTAGACGTTGAGCAGAGAAACATCTTTAAAGTGATTTTCGAGGAGGAGAGGAGAGGAGAGGAGAGGAGAGGAGAGGAGAGTGGGACGGAGTAGCAGGAATAGAGATGTCTGGAAGGAGAGGGAGGGAGGTAAGGAGCAGAGATCCCTGGAGATGTTTTGCTTTTGCTTCGTTTTTTTCCTCCTGGAGATGCGCGGATGGATGCATGCATGAATGGATTCTGTTTGGAGATGGTGGTAGCAGGCGCACCAGGCCTTCAACTTTTGAGACGTCTCAGAAGGTAGCAAGCGCACCAGGCCTTCAACTTTTGAGACGTCTCAGAAGGTAGCAAGCGCACCATGCCTTCAATTCAAATGGCCTTCAAAACCGAAACGAAACGAGGAGGTTGCTATTGCGATTGGAGGGGTGACGCGGGAAGAACAGAGCGAGGGGAGGGAGGGGAGGGAAGAGCGGAGGAGGCAGAAAGGAACGCACATAAGGCGAGGATGCAAAGGGCGGTGATGACGCATCCAATCACATAGAAGGTAATGGATCTGAAGAGGGGGGGAGAGAAGGTGGGGGAAGAGATGGGGGTAGGGGGGAGAGGCAGGCATATGTCAAGTCAACTCGAAATGCACACATCAGGAGTCCTTTCAAAAGGGAAGTGATAACGCATCCAATGGGAGGAGGCAATGGGTAGCAACGACACATTGAATGACGTGGAAGGTGGTGGAAATGGGGAGTGGGGACAAGAGGAGGGAAGGGTGGGTGATAGTGTTTTGATTGAATTTGAAATGAAATGCTCATGAAATGCAAGACTTTCTCATGGACGGAAGTTGCTCACAGAACAAAGCAGGTGGTGGGATTATAAACTGCAGCACAGCACAGCAACGCGCACACCGCACCGCACCGCATTGCGCGCACACAGCACAGCAGTTACACCGCGCCGCACCGTTCGCCATCCCACAGCACTGCATTGCACCACACCGCACTCACAGGACTCGCAGGCCGTTGTTGACGATGTTGATGCCATCTGCCGTCTTGGCCTGCAGATCCGTGGCGGTCTGGTTTGCCAACCTTGCCTTGTTCTGAATGTCCGCCTTCTTGTCAGCTGATGCAAGGGGAAGGAGGGAGAGGGGGGAAGAGGAAGCAGCGAGATGGGGAGGAAGAGGGCGAGGGAGCGAGCGATGGTGCGTGGCGGTCTGGTTCGCCACCCTTGCCTTGTTCTGAATGTCCGCCTTCTTGTCAGCTGATGCAACGCAAGGGGAAGCAGCGAGAGGGAAGAAGCGCGGAGCCAAGCTGACAGTGAGCCGAGTATCAAGGAGGAAGTGAGTGTGGTCCGGGCTGTGCCCGACTTTGAGTCGACTCAAGAAGCAGCGAGAGGGAAGAAGCGGGGAAGCGAGCTGACAGTGAGCCGAGTATCAAGGACGAAGTGAGTGCGGGCCGTGGCTTACAAGGCGGAAGCGAATAGGCCGGAAATTCAGTGAGAAACCAAGTGCCGGCATGAAACCAAGGTTCAGTGAAACAAGTGCGGTATTGATGAACCAAGGTGAAACAAGTGCGGTATTGATGAACCAAGGTGAAACAAGTGCGGTATTGATGAACCAAGTTGAAACAAGTGCGGTATTGATGAACCAAGGTGAAACAAGTGCGGTATTGATGAACCAAGGTGAAACAAGTGCGGTATTGATGAACCAAGGTGAAACAAGTGCGGTATTGATGAACCAGGGTGAAACAAGTGCGGTATTGATGAACCAAGGTGAAACAAGTGCGGTATTGATGAACCAAGGTGAAACAAGTGCGGTATTGATGAACCAAACATGCCCCACCCACATGGAATGGAAAGGTGTTAGAAAGGTTCCCAGAAGCACCGAGAGTGAAACACAGATAATGGATCACTGGTAGGTAGTGAACAGAACGGAATTAGTAAATGGAATGGGGATCGAGATAGTGCATGTGGCAGGCATATACGGTGTCTTGCCTCTCGTATGGCGCAGCTCAGTGTCGGAATGGAGTGACGGCGCAGCTCAGTGTCGGAATGGAGTGACGGCGCAGCTCAGTGTCGGAATGGAGTGACGGCGCAGCTCAGTGTCGGAATGGAGTGACGGCGCAGCTCAGTGTCGGAATGGAGTGACGGCGCAGCTCAGTGTCGGAATGGAGTGACGGCGCAGCTCAGTGTCGGAATGGAGTGACGGCGCAGCTCAGTGTCGGAATGGAGTGACGGCGCAGCTCAGTGTCGGAATGGAGTGACGGCGTTGGTTGGCAATGGTGTGATGACAGATGAGCTCGCATCGCATCCACGATGCTCGAGAGGTTAAACGTTTAAGACCACACTGGCCGTGACATTAACCATCTCCGTCACGTCACGTCACGTCACGTCACGTCACGTCACGTCATGTCACGTCACGTAACAACTCACTTTTTCCCAACACTGGCGGATTCAGGCGCCTCAAAAACAGCCCGCATCCACGATGCTCGAGAGGTTGAACACCCGGGCGGGCACGATGCTGCATGCGGCTCACTACAAGGCAAGGCAGGCGCCACGTGAGTGTGGCAGGGCTTGTCTCACTCACCGGGAATGACGGCGTTGGCGACGGTGATACTGGAGCTCGTCTCCACGATGTCGGAGAGGTTGAAGATCACACTGGCTGTGAAGTCAACCTGCTCTGTCACGTACTGTGTCACTGTGTTCACACGGTTATGCAGCTGCACTCCCCCCGCCACCATCACGGAAAAGCCCACCCTGGGAGAGAGAGAGAGAGAGAGAGAGAGAGAGAGAGAGAGAGAGAGAGAGAGAGAGAGAGAGAGAGAGAGAGAGAGAAAGAGAGAGAGAGAGAGAGAGAGAAAGAGAGAGAGAGAGAGAGAGAGAGAGAGAGAGAGAGAGAGAGAGAGAGAGCGAGAGAGGCAAAGGGGATGAGATCAGAGAGGTTGAACACCACACTAGCTGTGAGATCAACCGTTTCCTCCGTCACATACTGTGTCACCTCGTTCACGCAGTTATGCAGCTGCACTCCTCCTGCTACCATCACAGAGAAACCCACCGTGGGAGGGGAGAGAGGCGAGGGGGATGAGAACACGGAGGGGGGTTGAGTGTTTTTTAGCTCGCTTAAGATAAAAGCTAGCTGCAGCCCTCCCTCCCGCGACCATTATTCAGACGCGTCCACGCTGGGAGAGCAGGGGAGGAGGGCAGAGCATAGTTGCTGAGAAACACCCTTAAACTGAACCCTGAGAGTTAGAGCAGAGAGGGGTGGACGGGAGGTGGGTGCAACGAAAGAGGGTTACATTTTTCCGAGTTACGCAGTTACACTCCTCCGCACCACTTGTAACAGCTGATGGGTGGGTCCCTCAATCTATGAGTCGGCTAAGAAAACAATATCGGTGCCCACGGCTGCAGAAAACAAATATTAGAAATGTGGAAAGAAACGATCACCGAGAAAAGAAAGGGAACAAAAGGAAATGAAAGAAAAGAAAGACGCTTTTCTGTGAAGCCAGACAAAAGAGCTGTTTCTGTTTCCGAAATATGCAGCGAGCTCGTAAATTGTCCTTATGGTGAAATCAGAATGCATATTCGTGGATGGAAATCTTTACGGAATATACTCATATATATATACATATATATACATATATATATATGAATGTAAACGAGTTAAGATTTGCTTCTGACCTAAGCAGTAAAAAAACATTTTATGACCATAAGAAACGGTCAATGTTTCCCACCCCAACTGTATATGTATATATAATGTATATATATAATTTGTATGAGGACGATTTTCACTGTGGAACTCTACACTACCGTATAATGGTACGTACATCACGGCCAAATCACAAGGACGAGGTTATTTGCACCTTAGATATGAGTCATTCCCGTTACAAGCATTCCCAACACCAGCACTTACAGCACGGCGACGATCCCGAGGAGCATGAACCCCAACGGCACCCAGAGGTCCTTCTTGGTGTACTTGGCGTATGCGGGGTCCCTCATCTCGCTCCACTTGTCGCGACAGCACAGGAAGGTTAGGAGGGAGAATCCGAGGATCCCGAGGCCCAGGATGACCCATAGCAGCCCGAGCAGCGGCGCGTAGACCACCGACCACACGACGGACTGGGGGACGAAGGAGGGAGGGAGAGGAGGGAGAAGGGGAAGAATGGGCGGAAGGGGTAAGGGCGGGGAAAGCGGGGCGGGGAGAGCGAGGCGGGCGGTAACCAAACCTATAACACAAGAGGGTAACACGTGTTCCCACGGATGGCCGAGATTTTTAAGACGTTTAGAAAAATAACACGTTAGTATTACTCACGGCCCAATAGTCCTTGTTGCTGGGGTCCCACCCGCCCGTGTAGTCCCTAAGTCCGTCCAGAGGGTTCTTGCGCCGCGTGCGGTTCGGAGCGAGAGTCACGTTCTCGAGGATTTGCTGTAACCCGCGACGAGTGACGTGATTCGAACTTGGGTGTTCCGAAATCGCGACGCGATGCGCTTCTGTTATTGCGTTCTGAATGAGCGCGTGATAGTAATGGACGGAATCGGGAAGGTGGTTATATTCCAGGTGAAACTTCTGAGATGTTGTCGCGTCGGGAACTGAGGAAGACCTACTAATGCCCTTCAACCCCGCCGCAATCCGCGCCGTCGAAGCCGAGTCGGCGGCGCACAGACGCGGCGCGATAGCTACAGCGCAGATGACGAGGAGGAGGATTAGGAGGAGAGAATAATCGTTCCCAATGCCAGCAGCATGCGAGCCGCCACGTGATGACGAACCGCGGTCCGCTCGACGCGGGTTGCACATTATATTTGGCGCCGCACAACCGCCTCTTCTCCGCATGTCCTCCATTTCCCAGCGCATAATTATCTTTTTTTTTTTTTTTAATCTTCGGGCTTTTAAGCCACTTGAGATGGTTAACACGTCGAGTAGTAAGGGAGCTCGTGCAACGTCTACGGCCCGGGGGAAGAAGCGCTTCGCGCGTCGCCTTAACCAAGTAGAGCTTCGAGGCGCCGCTTCGTCGCTTCGGTGCTTGTCAGCCTAATGCGCCGCAGCTAGTAGAGCAGGCAATTATGCGTCAGGAATAGCGCCCCGCTTCCGCAACGAGCGGCGTTAGATATAACAAAAATGGCAAAACCTACCAATATACCCAAAAAAGAAATAATCCATCACCAGCAGAGTCACAGACATACCACATTTGTCTATTCGGTGGGGTGACGGTGAGAAACAGAGGGGAGGAGGGGAGGCTGGGGGTGATGGGTGTGCGAAGTGAACGAACGAAGATTGAATACAGCTGCCCATTCGCCAGGCAGTTCGTCAATTCTGTTTACTTATCCGCTCGTTTTGCGCGTGAATGACTTTCGAAGCCGCTGGGCCAACTGAAGTTGCTGACCTGTCGCGAATCGCATCGGGATGTCCAGATCTTGTACGTCCTTTGTCTACTTGAGGCCAAATTTGTCGCGTAGCGGTACAAGAGAAACGTCAATAATAAGATAATACACGATACATGAAACGTTATTTGTACAACCTCAGTTAAAAGTGAATGTATGCATACTGTAGTGGGATTCTTCCCTTTGGAAAATAAATGTGCAGCCTGGGCACCACCTTCTCACATAACCAAATCAATAGGATCCACGGACTTGGATTTTGGATCATAGATAGTCACCGTACTGTCGAAAGTGCAAGCAAGGTGCGACTTTGCCTTCGTGCCGCACCATCATAGCTAGCAAACGGTTTGTGTTTGGGGTGCAGGGTACGAGAAGGAACGGGCCATCTTCATGTCTGGGGTTCGTTCATGCTTGGGATGCGAGACGGTGCCAAACCTCGAAATCCTTTGGGAAAGTGGAGTGAAGGAGATAGGAGGGATAGGAGGGACGCAGGAATGTCCTCGCAGGGACGTATCCTTAGATAAGCTTCTTTCGATTTGAGAAAAAAAATGTTTATCTCAGAAAGCTGGCAGGCAGCATATATACGCTTAGAGAGGCAAAGGTTGTACACATGCGTTGCTGTACCAAAGCTATAGACAGCCACTGTAATTTACTTGTAACCAGCACCACTTTCGCTCGCATACGAGCTGTTGCTATAAGGCTGTTCCGAGCCTCCATACGAGTAGCCCGAGCCTTCTGCAAAGCTAGGCTCGTTCGCTTGCGTCTGCCCCTCGGCCCCCCCTCCTGATGGGTATGCAACTGGAACAGCAGAAGCCTTGTACAGTCTGGTATGGGGAAGACAATAGAGGGGATAGGGGTGAGTGGAGGGAACGCAGCTGAATTGATAGGGTAAGCAAACATTCTGGTGCCATATGATGGTTTATGTTCATGTTTGTGTATGATGTGCAGTGGGATTGCTGTGCGGGGAGTCTGAAAAGGCAATCAAGGCTTATTTCTCGAACACTTGCCCAATCGCCCCCTTCCAGCCCAGAATCTGACCCCAGCCACCCCCAACCACATCCCCCAGTCCCAAACCCAACCATCCACCTTTCCCCCAAGTCTTACCCCTCAGCTTCGGCGTCGTTGAGCCGATCGCCGAGCCTGACGGCTCGGAAGACGTAGACAGGCATGGAGAGGGCCTGCATCATGCAGGCGATGGTGATGACCAGGAAGCCCACCCAGAGCATCTGGAAATTGGTGAGCATCCCCTGCGCCTCGGCTATTGCAAACTGAGGGGGTACGAGGGGTTGGGGGGGAAACAACAAGCTGAGTCCTCTTGAATACCAGGACCCAGAGCATCTGGAAGTTGCACCTCTGCGCCTCGGCTATTGCACTCACCATACTGGTCAAGACACTGCACTGCACCGCACTCCACCGTACGGCATCCGCACTCACCGCAGCAATGTTGGCGACATAGGAGCAGTCGACGAGGGTGAGCACGTTGGGGATGGTGGACTCGAGCAGTGCGAGCGTTGTTGCGGTGGCTGTGAGGTCGTTTTTCACCACGTCGGGCACCAAAGCAGAGCTGTTGGCCGTCGAGGAAAGCCCCTGGAAAGGAGTAGGAAGAGGGTATAGGGGGGAGTGAGAACTATGTGTGTGCGACTCAAAAAGGCTGTGAGATCGTTCCTCACCACTTCCGGCACGGGAAGGCCCTGGAGGAGGGGGAGGGCGGAGAACCAAGGGCAGAAGAATGTTACAGGGGAAAGAAGGAGGTGTGTTGGGAGAGACATGAGGGGACACGAGGGGTCATGAGGGGTCATGAGGGGTCATGAGGGGTCATGAGGGGTCATGAGGGGACATGAGAAACTGTGTGCTTAGTCTTTTTAAAACCATGCTGCTTCGTCCATCCACATCCACAGGAATGTCCCATCAGCACAATGCCACGTCAGCACACATGCCACATCAGCACAATGCCACGTCAGCACACATGCATCATCAGCACAATGCCACGTGAGCACACACGCCGCTCACATTCACAAATTGCTGGAAGCTGATGGTGCCGTTACCGCAGTAGCTGCTGTCGCGCGTGAAATTGGGCGGCGGGCCGTACGGCACACAGATGCCGCCCGGAGCATTTAGGTAGGTAAGCGCCTGGGGGGTAGGATAGGGAAGATGGGGGAGCAGGGGGGGCATTGATACGGTTAAACAACTGTTGTGGGAGGCAGGGGAGCAGGGAGAGGCGGGCCGTACGGCACACAGATGCCGCCCGGAGCATTTAGGTAGGCGAGTGCCTGGGGTGGGGAGGCAGGAGGGGGTTCGAGAGCAGCGAAGTGGGAGAGCGGGTGAGTGGAAAGGGGGAAAGCAAGGGTCGCCAAACCACACGTAGGTACGTACCATAGGTGCTGCAAGCACTGCATATGAGTCGACTCAATACAAAGGGTCGCCAAACCACAAACGTATGTGCGTATCATAGGTGCTGCAAGCACTGCACTCACTCACCCTCAGTGCACTAGCTGCAGACGTGTTGGTTGGCAGTGGTAAGCTGAGCACGGTGGCAGCAGAGTAGCGTGCAGCATCTGAGTCACCTTGTTGGTATTTGTTTCGATTATCGGCAATAATAACTCCACCCTCTCACCCTCGGTGCACTAGCTAGCAGCCACAGCCGTGTTGGCAGTGGTGAGCTGAGCATGGTGGCAGCAGATTAGCTCACGCGCAGCATCTGAGTCACCTCAAAAATCACCCCTTTATCCACCCTCTCACCCGTGGTGCACTAGCCGCCACAGACGTGTTGGTTGGCAACAGTGAGCAGCACGGTTGCGATGTAGCACGCATGGCGCGTGCATCCCCGAGTCATCCCCAAATCACCTGTTCATCGGTGGAAATCACTGACTAGTTTTGAGACGTCTCAAAACTTCACTTCACTGCACCGCACTGCACCGCACTGCACTCACCCGCGGTGCATTAGCAGCCACGGAGCTGTTGGCAGTGGTGAGCACCGTGGCAGCGGTGTAGCGCGCATAGCGAGTTGCATTCAAGAGCTTCTCGCCGGGGATGCAGTGGAGATATTTGTCCATGGCGCTGTTCATGGTGGGCGACTGCTGCACCTGCTCCAGTGCAACGCTGGTATCGCCATTCACCCTGGGGTTGGAAATAGGAGAGTGACCAGCGGAGGGAGGGGAGACGTAGGGGTGAGCAGCAGCCTCAAACCTGCTGGGGATGCAGAGCAGTGGAGGCACTTATGTCCATGGCGCTGCTCATGGTGGGCGACTGCTACACCTGCTCCAGTGCCTCACTTGTATCGCCACTCTGGGGTTGGGGAGTTTGGGGGGTTGGAGGGGGTGGGGATTGGGGGCTTGGAGGGAGGGAAGGAACGAGAAAGTTAGCATCATTACGGTTTATGGTAATGAAATGAAAAATCCCTCTGAACGCGGAACTTTAGCAGCTAACGTTGCATTTGAAGGCATCGCTTCAAAGTGTATTATTAAAAGTTAAAACACATATGTGGATGCACAGTAACTAAGGGGCTTACAGGTATGCGATGATAAGAGCAGCTGTGGTGCACCAAGTGAAGAAGACAACCATCCAGATGATAGTGATGATGCTGTTAAGGGAGATAAATAGACCGATCACAAGGAGACACACATAGCAAGTGTTTATGAATAATGGGAGTCCATCCGAGCCCTGGTGGGTTTCGAACCCACCAGACGCGCGAGCTGGCGGAAGCTGTCTGCCCGGGGCAAAAAAACTAAACCCCTATCGGGCTGCATGCCATTCGGGAGGCATCAACCCTAAAATTTTAGGGTTGATGCCTCCTGAATGGCATGCCTTCCGAGTGGGTTTTAGATTTTTTTTGCCTGCGGGCAGATCGCTTCCGCGAGCAGGCGGTGGCGATCGCGGATTCGCCCGTGTTTTACTGTATTTCGGGCGTATGAACCTTCGAGTATGGTTACGATGTGATGTATAAGAACAATCAGCTTACTCTGTGACATGTAAAAAAACAAAACAAAAAACAGATTCCTCCTAAAAAATCATTGCAGCCACAACAGTGCAGAAGTTATAGTTTGATTCGTAGTTTTAGATATGTAATTACTTGTAACGCTTAACGGAATGTACATAAGTACTTGGCGTGCAGCAAAGGGCTTTCGAATGCAAGCAAGCATACTCACATGTTCGATGCTACGACCCATTTGAGTAGTGAAAACACTGCGAGGAAAATCATACATACACGATTGGAGAAGTGAAGACAAAAAAAGGATAGACTTGATTAAAAATAGCAGTACATGCAGTTAAGATTTTGAGACGTACCGAAACGAAAAATTGACAGAATTAGAAATACATGCACGGTGGCAATTGGGTCAATCACGAAAGACAGTAAAGCGATTGTGAGAGTTGCAAACCCTGAAGAAAACTTAGAAAATGACTCTTGTTCTAATTTTGAGGCGCCTCAAAAGTAAAGGGCTCATGTTCTAGATAATCGCTCCGACCAATGAGACGTCTCAGAATAGGGGTGAGGGGGAAGAGCGGATGAGGAAGAACGGAACGTACGTAAGGCAAAGAGGCAAAGGGCTGTGATGATGCAGCCGATGACATAGAATGTGATGGTTCTGGGAGGAGAAAGGGAGGGAAGGGCATAGTAGGGAAGGGAGTCAGAGGGGAGGGGAGGGGAGCGGAGGGGAGGGAAGTCAGAAATCGAGTAGGAGGGGAGGAGGCAAAGGGCTGTGATGATGCAGCCGATGGCATAGAATGTGATGGATCTGGGAGGAGGGGGGAAGGGGGGGAGGAGACAAGGAGAGAGGGGAGGGAGAGGAGAAGGGAAGGAGTCAGTCTTGAGTTCAATTCAACTCAAAATGGAGCCAACGAAAATCAAAGTCAAAAGAGCTGCGTGAAAGAAGTGTACTTTTGATACGTCTCAAGAATACACTTCTTTCACGTGGCTACTCAAAATGCAGACGGCAAGAATCAAAGTCAAAAGAGCTGTGCGGCGGCTACTATGCCGCCCACATCACTGATGAGATGATGCAGGCGGTGACTGACATAGAAGGTAATGGTTCTGAGGTGCAGCTACAATGCACCGCATTGCACCGCACTGTACCCCAGCCCACATCACTGCATCCCAGATCATCCCATCCCACATCACTTCACCGCACTGAACCGCACTCACGGGAGACGCAGGCTGCTCTTGATGATGTCGATGCCGTCCGCCGTCTTGGCCTGCAGGTCGTGCTCAAGAGCTACACCGCACCACACCGCACAGGAGCTACACCGCACCACACCGCACAGGAGCTACACCGCACCACACCGCACCCAACCCCAGCCCAACCCACATAAGCGCACTGCACATCACCGCACCACACATCACTGTACCGTACCGCACTCACAGGAGTCGCAGGCTGCTGTTGATAATATCAATGCCGTCCGCCGTCTTAGCCTGCAGCTCAGTGGCTGTCTGGTTTGCCTGCCTCGCCTTGTTCTCAATGTCTGCCTTCTTGTCATCTGCAGGTGGTGGTGGTCGAGTAGGGGGAGAAGAGGGAGACGAAGGGAGGAGGGATGGTGAGTGTCTGTTTCGTTTGCCTGCCTCGCCTTGTTCTCAATGTCTGCCTTCTTGTCAGCTGACGCAATGCAACACAATTGGAAACAGAAAAAGGGGGAGAGAGGGAGGGAGAGTGAAGGAGAGTCGGCTGCTGTCTGGTTTGCCTGCCTCGCCTTGTTCTCAATGTCCGCCTCCTTGTTAGCTGACGTACGCGTAATCAGCAAGAGGGAGAGAGGGGAGGGATGGTGAATACTTGTCTGGTTTTCCTGCCTTGCTTACTTCCGAATTCCGCCTTCTTGTCATCTGAAGCACGGGGAATCAGAAAGAGGAAGGAAGAGAGAGGAGGAAGGAAGAGAGAGGGGGGACGGGAGGGAGGGAGAGTCAGCTGCTCTCTCGTTTGCCTGCCTCGCCTTGTTTTGAATGTCCGCGGTACCACAGAGAAAAACAAACACCATGTGTGGCTCATCTCACTCACCCGGAATGTCAGCGTTGGCGACGGTGATAGACGAGCTCGCTTCCACGATGCTCGAGAGGTTGTACACCACACTGGCCGTGAAATGTTTGAGGTGCCTCAAAGCACGACTTTCGAGGCGCCTCAAAAGAAAGCTCACCCGGAATGACGGCGTTGGCGACGGTGATGGTGGAGCTCGTTTCCACGATGTTGGAGAGGTTGTAGACCACACTGGCTGTGAAGTCAACCTGCTCCGTCAGATATTGCGTCACCTTGTCCACGCGGTTCTTTAGCTGCGCGCCCCCCGCCACCATCACAGAGAAACCCACCCTGGGAGGGGAGAGAGGCGAGGAGTGGGATGAGATCAGGCAGAGCAGAGCAGAGAAAGAGAAAGAGAAAGAGAAGGAGAAGGAGAAAGAGAAAGAGAAAGAGAAAGAGAAAGAGAAAGAGAAAGAGAAAGAGAAAGAGAAAGAGAAGGAGAAGGAGAAGGAGAAGGAGAAGGAGAAGGAGAAGGAGAAGGAGAAGGAGAAGGAGAAGGAGAAGGAGAAGGAGAAGGAGAAGGAGAAGGAGAAGGAGAAGGAGAAGGAGAAGGAGAAAGAGAAAGAGGAAGAGAGATAGAAAGAGAAAGAGAAAGAGAAAGAGAAAGAGAACCCGAGCAATAAATCATCCCTGTTACTACAAGCACTCGCAGTACCGGAACTCACAGCACGGCGACGATCCCGAGGAGCATGAACCCCAGCGGCACCCAGAGGTCCTTCTTGGTGTACTTGGCGTATGCAGGATCCCTCATCTCGCTCCACTTGTCGCGACAGCACAGGCAGGTTAGGAGGGAGAATCCGAGGATCCCGAGGCCCAGGATGACCCAAAGCAGCCCGAGCAGCGGCGCGTAGACCACCGACCACACGACGGACTGGGGGACGAAGGAGGGAGGGAGAGGAGGGAGAAGGGGGAGAAGGGGCGGAAGGGGTAAGGGCGGGGAAAGCGGGGCGGGGAGAGCGACGTAAACCACCGACCACACGACGGACTGGGGGGAGTGGGGGACGGGGGAGGAGGAAGGGGCGTGTAAGGCGGGGGAGGGCAGGGCGGAGAGAGAGGGGAGGGAGGATGAGAGGGGGGGAAGAAGGCGAATACTTTTTTTGAGACGTCTCAGAAGGCGAAGATCCCGAGGCCCAGGATGAGCCAGAGCAGTCAGTAGTGGACAGGTGGGCTGCGGAGGCCTAGGATGAGCCAGACCAGCGGCACGTATATCGCCGACCAGATGACGGACTGGGGTGGGGATACGGGGTGGGGAGGGAGAAAGGGCACAGGGCACAGGGCACAGGGCACAGTAAAGTAACACAACAGGGTAACACCTACCGCGCAACTATGGGATGTTACACAACAGGGTAACGATTACCACGCAACTATGGGATGTAACACAACAGGGTAACGCTTACCGAGCAACATGGGATGTAATACAACAGGGTAACGCTTACCGTGCAACTATGGGATGTAACACAACAGGGTAACACTTACCGCGCAAATATGGGATGTAACACAACAGGGTAACGCTTACCGCGCAACATGGGATGTAACACAACAGGGTAACGCTTACCGCGCAACTATGGGATGTTACACAACAGGGTAACGCTTACCGCGCAACTATGGGATGTAACCCAACAGGGTACTATGGGATGTAACGCAACTATGGGATGTTACACAACAGCGTTAGTAACGCTTACCGCCCAATAGTCCTTGCTGCTGGGGTTCCAGCCGCCCGTGTAGTAGTTAAATCCGTCGAGAGGGTTCTTGCGATGCGTGCGGTTCGGAGCGAGCGTCACATTCTGCAGAGCTTGCAGCGCGCGGCGATTCGCGTGATTCGGGCTCAAACGGTCGACCGCGTGAGTGAAACGGGGGTGCTCGAAGAGCGCGACGCGCGGCGCTTCGGTCAGAACGTTCTGGATAAGAGCGTGATAGTAAACGGCGACATTGGGAAGGTGATTATATTCCAGGTGACTGTTCCGCGATGCGGCCACGTCAGAAAGCGAGGACGACGTGCTAATGCCGCCCTTTGAGCCCGCCGCAATCCCCGCCGTCGAATCCGATTCGGATGCGCACAAACGCGGCGTGACAGCTACAGAGCAGATTGCGAGGAGGAGGAGGGTAATGCCCGCCGTTTGCGGGCAGCCAAGAGAGGTCGAAGCGCGGTCTGTCCGATGCGGGTTGCCCGTTTTATTTGGCCCGCCATAGTCGCAAATTCTGCGCGGGTCGCCCATTATCCAACCTGAAAACCTGATTATTCGAAGCCGTGGGGCGTATTTTGAGGCGCCTCAAAAGAAGTTTGATTAATCGAAGTCGTGGGGCTTCGCCGCCACTTGCGTTTTCTAACAGTCTCGTCCAGGAGGAAGGGAGCTTGTCGCGGCGGCGGCGCTTCGAGTCTAGGAGGAAGGGAGCTTTTGCAATGAACCGTGGCGGCGGCAGCGCTTCGATTCTAGGAGGAAGGAAGCTTGTTCAATGCGACGCGGCGACGGCGCTTCGAGGCGTCTGGACAAGCGGCGTCTGTTCTTTGTCTGATGCGGACAAGCAGCTCTTCACGCATCAGAAATATTTTATCGTGCTGCGCAACAAGAGGCGATGAGAGCGGACGAATGGAGCAGAACCACATTCCAGAATGTGACCAATATCTCCAGAAATAGAAACACGAGGGATAATATCGTGCCAGCTACGCGCTCTGTGCTTCATCCTGTTCGGTGGGGAGACGGGAAGAAACGAGAAGGGGCAGACCAAGAAGGCAGGGAGAAGAAGGGCGGGATGGGGTACCGTAGTGTGGAAAGTTTGGATTTTACTGCCCGCCTGTCACTTCGTTGATGCACTCGTTCTGCCCACGATCGTTCTTTTGGATGCCCGTGGAAATCGCTGACGAGTGATTACAACATGTTACAGGTGTTTGACGAGATATGCGAATCTAGAAGATACCAGAACTATGTCGAACAAACACCGATGTTTCTCACATCGCCGAATTGTTTCGGTTCGCGGATCTCGGTAGGAGCTCACTGGCGAGCTGGATTTGTGCATGTGGTGCTTATTCACAAAATTACCGATGTGCCCTGATGCTTGCGGGCTGCCCAGAGAAAGGACGGAAATCCCAGCACAAATGGCATTGCGTTTGCATCATCAGTCAATGGGCTCGCAGCTTCGTTGGCCCCAAGTTTGTACCCCCGCTTTACAGTATTACACTCCGTTGGGTGACAGAGTCATGAAGTCTGCTTTTCAGGTCTATGGAACTTAAAAGCACGTGGCATCTGCCTTGTGTGATTCAGAATCGAATGCCACTCATGCGAGACATGTTTAGCAAACCTTGGACCAGGATGGGCTCGAGCTAAGTAGCATGTTTTAGACCAGAAGAACCCAGTGGACCCCGTTCGGATGTGTGGGTATGGATGTGAATGACAGTAAGAATATTATTAGACAATTGCCGAGCTGGAAAAAGCACCATCAGTCAATAACCGTTCGTTTCAGTTCGGTACCCCGATTGCCCTAATGACAGTGGCAGGGCACCTCACATCACATGTCAGCATGTGGCAGTCCACGCAGCACGACTCGTTGTCAGTTTGTGTGAACTTGACGGAAGATGCAGTGTGAAACTAGCGGAAGTTGCGAACTGCATGTCAGATAACCCACACCTGCACGGCAATCTGGAAAGTGAATCTTCTCCAAACTTACAGGTGGAGTGGAGTAGTGGTGAGGCGATTCTGACGTTTTCGTACACCCTTACGAATTGCGGTGCTGTAAGGAAAATTCCTTTTCCTTACTTCGCGTCCCTACTCAGGGCGTACAACACTGGCGTACAACACTGACAGCACCCCACAATATTCCGTTACCACTCGCGACATTTGCCTCGACATCATTCCCGCCACTGTTCACGATGCGACCCAACCTCACGGTTCGGTTGGTAACCCTCGCTCCGGACCTCCGCCTCGACAGTTCCCCAAACCTCGGCACCAGGCCCGTCGCGCACCCCAATTTCCCACGTTACCGTTATCACCGTAGTTTTCGCTATATATTCTTCGCTCATTCCTCCGCTCATTGTATTCTTGTCTCGATAGTGCAATCCTCGCTCGCTCACTCAATTGCACTCGTAACACTTGGTTATCAGAGCCTACGGTCTTCTCTCGGACCGCACCCACACCTTCGCTTCCCCACTATCAATTTTTTTGGGGGGGGTATATGTCTCTCAGCGATCAAGCACCGCCGCTCGTAGTGCTCTCTCGTAAGCACGCACGGCCACGACAGAGGCTCTCGCTGAGCTTGCCCGACACCCCCGCCATGGCGGAACTCAATGTCGCGACACTGACACAGGAGCAACTAGATCGGCTCATGCGCCAACTCGAAGAATCGGCGCTTGAAATCGCCACACTCACGGCGGAACGCGACTCCGCTCGCCAACAATCGACAGTGAACGCACCAGCACCAACACATGCACCTACACATTCGGAGGAGCCGATTGTCATCTCCTCCGGCACACCGACATAGAATGACAGCGTGGAAAAGCGCTCCGGCGCAGCCAGTGAGGGCGCCGCTCACTCGATGCCTGGCATGGAGAGAAACAGGACCGCACCAAGCCCACGGGAGCCCCGCGAGTCCCGTCGGCACGTGGACTTTGCAGCGACAAGTGGCGAGTATGCCGTCACGGCACCAATGCCACTCAAGCCACAGCGTCAGCCCTGTTTCGACCCGAGCCAACGTGGGGGTCCGACAGTTCAGTCGTGGGTCTTCACAATGAACGTGTTTTTCGACGCCAATTACGTCGAGTCGGACGCAGCGAAGATTCGCTACGCTGTTTCGCTGCTGAGGGGCCCTGACATGGACTGGTGGCGAGTCATCGTGACGTCGCCACGCGCCTACGAGCCACCGTCGCAAGAAGACGGGCCCACGGGCCCAGCCGTCACCTGGAGTTCACTCTGCGAGACAGCCCAGTACAGCACGTGGGATGCATGGTGCGCAGGGCTTCGGGCGCGTTTCGAGCCGATCGCGGCTTCGATTTCGGCGCGTCAGAAGCTGCGCACTTGGCGGCAGCTCGGGTCGGTTCAAGATTACACAAGCGGCTTTCTCGCACTATGCGAACAAGTCGGCTATATGCACGAAGCGGAGCGGGTGGACCGTTACGTCGGAGGGCTAAAGCCGGACATATCGCACGAAATTATGCTACGCGAGCTCTCGAATTTCAACGAGATCCTCGCGCTCGCCGAGAAAATCGACATCCTACGACGACCGAGACCGGGGTCCTACTACGGACAACGTCCTCGAGGACCGATCGAGCACGCCACCGTACACGCCGTTGCGACGAATGCAGCTGCCGCACCGTTTAAGGGGCGCTTCTTTGATTGCAATAGGCCGGGCCATCGCAAGAGTGAATGCCCAGAGGAGCTGAGGCGCCGCGGAACAAAGCAGGGGCGAGAGTCTCAGAGGCCGGGAAACGCCAGCAGTCAGTAGAAGTTGGGCCAACTACTGACGAGACTGCCTGCTCGCCCAACTTCACCGACCCTCACCGAGTCACAGTACCGATTCACGCTATCGATCGGGCTCGGACGAATAAGGAGGGTACAGCGACGTATTGCCCCGTACTGATTCACGGGAAAATACAGGGAGCAGCAGTGAAGATTTTTATAGACGGAGGTGCAAGTCACAGCTTAGTTAATACCGCGACTGCAAGGAAGCTGCAACTGACACTTAGTCGGTGCTTACTAGAAATCGATGCACGCTTAGTTGACGGAACGCCGCTGGCCATACGGGAAAAAGTGGAAAGAGTAAAAGTCCGCTGTGGGGGGAATTTCGGGTTTACACAGGAAATGCTCGCGACGACATTGGATGGGCACGACATTTTACTAGGACGTGATTGGCTGCGACGATACAACCCGCGAATCGACTGGA